GTGGCTGGCGCCTTAGCCACTTGAGCCACCAGGCGCCGAGCTGATGATAGCACTTTGGGAGGCTGAGGCACTTGAGCCCAGAAGTTTGAGGTAGTAGTAAGATACAATTATGCCACTGCACTCTAGCCTGGGCATTAGAGTAAAATCCAGTGTCAAAAAGTAATACACAAAAAGGACTTTTCCCTTTATCTTTCTTTTTAAGAGATGAGGTTTCACTATGTTGCTGAGGCTGGCCTCAAACTCCTGGGTTTTCCCTTGATTTTATACAAGGGGTATAATGATCCTAATGAACATCCTAAGGATAGCAATTTAAGAGAATGCTTTAAGTGCTGCTAAAAGTCAGGAAAGCAACAACAACAAAAACAAAACCAGAAATTCTAACAGCAAGCTTTTGGGATATTTCCTAGGGTTAGTGCAAATTTATCTGAATGTCCCAAACTATTTTTATTTTGGAGACAGAGCCTTACTTTGTCACCCTCAGTAGAATGCCATGGCGTCACAGCTCACCACAACCTCCAGCTTAGCCTCCCAAGTAGCTGGGACTACAGGCACTCACTATAATGCCAGGCTATTTTTTTGTTGCAGTTTGCCCAGGGCTGGGTTTGAACCTGCCACCCTCGGTATATGGGGCTGGCACCCTACTCACTGAGCCACAGTCGCTAACTGTTTTTTACTATTATCAATAGGAACCACCTTAGATATGTTTTAGGCTATAGTGCTAGTTAAATGGCTAGACCATATGAAAACCCATGTCTCATTAAAAATCCCACTTCAATTTTATCAACTATTCTATAGGACATCCACAACTCACAATATTTAGCAGGGTTAAAAAAAAAAGAATCTAGATAAACAGAATAAAACATAAGCATCAACCACTGTACTCTCCCCAATTCCTCATAAAAGCTACTAGTAAACATGAAAACCTCTTAAATATTTATTTCTCATATTTTCAAAGTTTAAGATATCACAGTATTTTGATTTTTCCAAATTTATTACATCTGATGATTTTCATCCGAACCAGACAAAGCAGTGTTTTCAGGTGAGAACTATTACCTGATCTGCCAATGCTTTCTTCAGCTCCATTCTCTAGCCACTGAGATTCACTGTCCAACAAGCGGTTTTTTGATTCACTAAGTGGTTTGATAGGAAAAGGTTGGTTTGAGCCAATACTGAAAAGAAAAGCAAATAATTTAGAAAATAGTTTAATGCTCCATTAAGGATATTTAATAAATTAATAAGCAGCAAATTAGTACTCCTCCTAGAGATGTGAGGGCAACTCATGAGATCTCAGAACTCTGAAAAAGCTCAGCTTCAAAAGAAAAATGTGCCCACAACCCCCCTGTTAAACGGCTCTCTAGACCCAAGAATTGGTATTCTAACACTGCCAATAAAAACAATTAGGTAAAAGAAAAAACGCTCCAGAGGCCAGTCTGAAATGTTTTTAACATATGTTAATCAAAAGCTGTAAGGTATTATAAGGACAGGCGAGGATCTATGTCTGTGGCCAGTACAAAAAAATTACCTGTCATTTCCCAAGTTTTCTGTTTTCTACCTCTGCAGTTTAGATCTAAGGGGAAAAAATGATTCAGTGATTTAGCGTAGACTTATTTTTCTAGTTAAGAGATCCAGGGAGGGAGGGAATGGAGGAAGGAAAGAAAGAGGAAAAGAGAACTAGTATTTGTTGGATCCTTATTATGGGTCAGACACTGTCCTAGCCACTTCGTATAAATTTTCTCACCCTCATAATTACCTTGGGAGGAAGGTATCATCTTTATTTTAAAGAGGTAGAAACCGAGTCTCATAGTTTAAGGGACTTGTTCAGAACCATAACATGTTAGACCTTGAAGCTCTAAGTTCTTAGGCCTATATTCTTCCATTATTAATATGCTGGCTTGGAACTTATAATCCCACTTCTCCTACAATTAACTTTGCTGGAAGTATCTCTAGCTTCTTTAAAAGTTAATTTAAAATGAACTATTCAACTGAATTTAAGAAATAGTTTACTTGCCATATAATCATTATGAGAAAATTTCCTTTAAGAAGAATTAATGAAAAAACATTTGTATTTATGAATTTTCATTATTATCATGTCTTGCCATGTATCACATTTTTGCCCAAATTTTTGAGGGAAAAATAAGGATGCACTGAATCATATATAGGTAGCACTGATAATGGCAGGGAGCAGGGGAAAGTGGCGTGCAGGACTTCCCTGGGGACTACCTTGCCCTCTCCTCCTGGGTCTACATAACATATGGGGATCCAGTCCCAGAAGATCTGGTGGGAGCACACTGGAGTTGCCTCTGCTGAAAGCCACAATTAGGGGAGAGAGTAGTGGCAGGCCTGGCAAGTGGAAAGGGCAATCAGGAGAGGAAAGGGGTGACCTTCACAGGGCTACAGGAAGGGGCTGTGACTTGCATGTTTACCAAGGGATTGTTAGCCCTCTCTAGATACGTCTCTCCTGGCCACTTTCTCAAGGGTCATTTTCCAGGAAGTTTAGACCAAAAATATGGATGCACATTACTCATGGCAGTGCATTATACACAGCAAATTATGGTATTTTGACACTGTAGTTAACATTTATCAGGATGAATTAGTGACCAGTATGATGACAAATTTCTTTTTTAAAAAATATAACTTAGGCTCAG